AGGGCACATGAATCTTCGCTTAAAGGTGTTTTGGTTATATTTCCTTTGATTTATCGGAAGCTTGTCTGAATATGAATGGGCACGAGAGACAAAACATGAAGGTCTGAGAGAAAGAGAAGGAGAAAGGAAGGAAATATAGAGGAAGGGGGGAGGGAGGGAGGGATAGAGGGAGAGAGGGAAAGATGAGGGAGGGAGGGAGGAGGGGAGAGGAGGAAGGAAGTAAGAAAGGAAGGAAGGAAGGAAGAAAGTGAGGGTCGGGAGGGGGGGATGAGAGGTAGAGGGGAGGGTGGAAGGTAGGAAGGGAGGAAGGAGGGAGGTAGAGAAGAGGGAAGGAAGGGAGGAAGGGGAGGGAAGGAAGGAGAGTGAAGGGAGTGAAAGAGGGAGGGAGGAGAGGACGAAGAAAGAAAGAGAGAGGGGAGGGGGAATGTGAGAGGCAGAGGAGGATGAAGGGAGAAGAAGAAAGAAAAAGAGAGAGAAAGAGAGAGGAAAGGGATAGGGAGGGAGAGAACGATTCCCATGAAAATACTTGGTGCTTTTGCATCTGTCACACAACAACAATAGCGTCAACATAACAACAACAACAACTAATAAGGACAAGAGCAAGCACCTCCAACAGTTTATTCAACAAACGGCAAGCATCAATAATAACAACATCAGCAACATTAATAATAATAACAGCATCAACAACGATAACCAATAAAAATATTAACAACAAGTAACTAGAAACAACAAGCAAATAGTCACCAATATCAGCAAAACAAAGGCAAATGACAGCAGACAACAATAACGAGATCAACAATAGTTAAAAAAAAAAAAAAAAAAAAAAAACACCAACAATCTTTAGAACTTTAGAAAAACACCACCTCCACCACCACCAACTACAACACCACCACAACCAACAACAACAACACCACCACCACCAACAACGACAACAACACCACCACCACCAACAACGACAACCCCCCCCCCCCCCCGCGCCGTGGCCGTACGCATCGCACCGCACCCTCTCCGCAAACGCCTCACGCAGCGGACCCAGATCCGTCGTGCCGTCTCGTAAGCATCCCCACGCGTTCCTTCGAGATCCTGCGAGGCGTCTGCACCCATAGGGCCTCCCCCGACAGCGCGTATTGACCAGGATCCAAGCTCTTTATCCCCCTCATCTCTCGCTGTACCTGTAGACTTACTAATGCTCTTAAACAAGACTTTGTGTTGGGATTGTATTTTTTTTCTTTTTTTATTGGTGAAGTCGGTGCTTTCTTTATTAATAAACTATTTATCTAAGTATACGGTTATCTGTTGAAACGCAGCTCCTGTTCCCAATACTCTCAGGATTTTATTCTTTGTGATACTCTAAATATGAAAAAATATATGTGACATTACTTGCAGCCATGACGTCGTCCTCGATAGAGAAAACTTTCGGAATCCAAACATTTTTGTTCTTTTAACCGTGAAAAGAAAACACGACTAACTTGATTCATGTGCGAAGTTTAAGTTCTCTTTTATTGCGAAGCAGAAAAGCCAGTTATTCTTAGAAGACTTCAAGCGTTTCGTAGTCAAATAAAACATATTATCGACAACAACACGCTATTTCTGAAGAGATACAAAAATACAAAAAGATTCATGTCAGATGCGAGATTCAACCGGGAAATGAATCTCAGGAGGAATTCAACATTGCCAAGAGCTGCATCCGAAAATACACAATATAATGATAGCCCTTCTCCCTCCCAATCGGAAATCGCCAATCATCATTTTACCTGGAATCAGTCAGGCGATATATGTACGATACATTGGATCCTTGTTTCTCGAAAAGCTCTAGGCCATGTTGAAAGTTCTATCTTCGCGAGCGCTCATTACGGAGATTCCTGGGAAGATCATCCATCGGACTCCATACACTATACTGTATAATGAGTTGCGAGTATGATGTTATTAGAAGCAGTCGATCTGCATTTTCTTTCATTTTAGAGCTGGTTCTATATTTTTACAGCGTTCTTATCATGCAAAACGTAAAAAAATATATAACTACTTACTTTTCATGAAATACCGGGAAAGCCGTGGATTAAAATCTTCAAGTAATCATTAAATTCCCCTCCTTATGAAAGAAAAGTCAGTATATACGAAAATTCATCTATACACACACGCACGCACACACACACACACACACACACACCACACACACACACACACACACACACACACACACACACACACACACACACACACACACACACACACACACACACACACACACACACACACACACACACACACACACACACACACACACACACACACACACACACACACACACACACACATATATGTGTGTGTGTGTGTGTGTGTGCGTGTGTGTGTGTGTATGTGTGTGTGTGTGTGTGTGTGTGTGTATGTATATATACATGTATATATATATATATATATATATATATATATATATATATATATATATATATATATATATATATATATAAACACACACACACACACACACACATACACACACACACACACATATATTATATATATACACATATATATATATATATAATATATATATATATATATACTATATATATATATATATATATATATATATATATATATATATATATATATATATCTATATATATATAGAC